CCCTATCTCGAAATTTGCTCACATTTTGAGGCACTTGGGGTTAGAGAACTCCAACAGTCTTTTTTTGTGGGGACACAATTCAACCCATAACAACACTAATATCAAATACTGGGGTAGAGGTGAACAATCTAGATCATTCATGTAATTTTGGTTGGAATGTAAATTGTACAGCCACTTGGGAAACTACTTTGTCAATAAATTAAAAAGTTAAACATAATCTTCCCTTACTATCCAGCAATTTCATTCCTAGGAATCTATCTAAGATGAGTGGAAACACAAAGAAATTGTAGAGGAATATTTATAGTAGAATTATTCAAATTATACATAGATTTTCATAGCAGCAAAAACTGGATACTGGATATTATTCAAATGTCCAACCAAAATGCAATATATCCATACAGTGGAATACTATTCACAATAAAAATGAACACAAAAAAATAGAGGGACTTCAAAAAAATATGATACATGAAATGAGTCATACACAAAACATATAATTCCATTTATTTTGAATATCAAAAAAATCTAATTTTATAGAAACAGAAAGCAAATCAGTAGTTAGCTGGGGCTAGGATAGGAGTGGAAATTGATTTCTAATAGACACAAGGGAACCCTAAGGAGTGATGGAAATGTTTAAAACTGAATTGTGATGATGGTTTCAGAACTCTATAAGTTTACTAAAACTCAGTGAACTATACACTTAAAATGAGTAAATTTTATGCTATTTAAATTATAGCTTCATAAAACAGCCAAAAAGAAGTTTATCTTAGTACTCCAAACAAACAACAAAAGTTGCTTGCAGGAGGATATCAAAAGGAGAGATATTCAGAAGTGGATAGATTTAAAATATATTTTGGAGATAAATGTAGATTTCTGAAAGCTAGAGATTGGATGGTGATGAAACATGTGACACATAGGTATCTGACTTTAGAAAATGGGTGTGTGGTGTTCCTTTTTCAGAGATAGGAAATAAATATGAAGAAACATTTCTGGGGAAAGAAAATCAAGAGTGCAGCAGTATAAATTCTAACTTTGATGAGATAATTGTGAGACATCCAAGTGAAGACAAGTTAGCAGCTTGAGCTCAATAGTGATGTCATGGCTGGAAATATAAATTTGTTATACATCAGCATTTAGGTGCTGTTCAAAGCATGGAAAAAATTTACTTAAACAAAATAACAACAGAAGAAATATACATCTGGAAAAGAACAAGGAGGAATTCCAGGTAGAGAAGTAGGAAATGACAAGAGTCTGAGATGAACATCTACTCAAATATCAAGTGTAGAAATACAGAGAGTAAGAGATAAAGTTAGATACAGAGACTTGATAGAGTTAGAGATGGAGGTAGAGATAGATTACAGTAAGTGATAGAGATAAAAATAAAAATGAGCAAGAGCAAGATTTATCACAGGGATTATGGGGGGGTCACTATGTGGGAGCAAAGTGTTCATGCTGATAATTAGTGATAAATATTTTTAGAAAAGTAATTTTCCAGTGGCAGACCTTGAATGCCACAGTAAGTAATTTGAGCTTTTTCCTCTGCACAATTAAATTATTTAATGTTTCTGAGTAGGGAAATTGCATGCTGAGAATGGTGGTTTAAGAAAAAAAATTCAATAGAATGATTTAGGGGATTGGACCTTTAAAAAAGTCTGTATATGTATTCACTAAGGTCAAATAACTCAGGAAGATAATTCCAATAGTGTTGATCATTTCATGCAAAATTCACTTAATATAATCTTTTTCTTCAAACTTGGAAGGATACAAGCAACATTCTCCTTGGATATGACAGAGTAATAAAGTATAGTTCTGCTGTAAGAAAAATGCATTTTACTTGTGGAAAATGTAAATATAAATTTTAACAAAGTTACACTACCATGGAATCTTTACCACATCATATAGCTACCAAGTGGATGTATAGCCAATACTTGAAACCCAATGGTAGGGCAAGGATTTTATCTATTTATGTCTCTTTGTTTCTATTAATTTCCTCACAAACATAAAGATCAAGTTAAGTGGATCAGTGGTTTTAAAACTTTGTTCAACAACCTTTCTCAAAATACGGAATTCAAATATATCAGACATTTGAAAGCAGTGATACTTTGAATAAGATACAACCCTAGCAGTCATTCCCTAACATACGCCACAAGAATCCTTAGATTCTACTAATCATAGATTGAAAGTCATTTTGACTAGATCATCACAAAGTTAATTTGAAGTTCCAATATTATGTTTTTAATGATTATCTTCCTTTCACAATTATCTGTCATTCTGAAGCAGACAGATACCAATCCTCTCCCCGACTTCTGATTAATGTAAACAGACCACTACTTGCAATGGCAATAGAAAGCTAAGAAACAATGTCTTTGCCAAAGAAAAAACTCTTTGATATTCCACTGAATGTTGTAGATATTACTAGGTAACATAAGCAAAAGAAGGGAGCTAGTATGAAGAGGCTTAAGAAATGGCTCCTACGGAGCCACAAACAGCTAACATCTATAGTGAAGCAGAGTATGTCTAGACAAAAAGACCTGTGTCTTTTTAAACTATCCCAGCTCTTGATATGACCTTCTGTCTTATGTTCCAGGAGCATCTTCTTGTGCACATATGCAGTACTTTTTCTACAGGATATATATAGGAGCAGAATTATAGAAAATTGAGTATGTGCATCTTCAGTTTTACCGGATAATTCTATAATATCTTCAAGATTAATTGATTCAATTTATTTCTCATTAGCAGAATATAATTGTTCATCTTTCTCTATATATCTTCCAGCCTTTATATAATTGTCAAAGTATATATTTTTCCAGTTTATCGGTGAAATATGATATCTCATGGTTGTTTTTTCTAGTTTTTCAACTCTGATTACTAATAAAACTGAGAATATTTAAATATATTTATTGGTTATTCAAGCTTATTTTCTATGATTTGCTTGTTCATAGGTTTAACACATTCTATTAGGCACTTTGTTTAATTTCTTATTTTTTTAACATATTTATTAGAGTATAATTGCTTTACAATGGTGTGTTAATTTCTGCTTTATAACAAAGTTAATCAGCTATACATATATCCCCATACCTTAATTTCTTATTTTTTTCAGAGTTTTATTTCATTATTGATATCAATTTTACCTAGGGTTTTGTGCTTTAATTATTTTCTCAAAATCTGTGACTGGTGTTTTGATTTTATTCACTCTACAGATATTTTTAGTTTCATCATAATCACATTTTTCAGTAATGTTCTTAATGATTTCATCTTTCTGCTTTTGTTTTAAATTCCTTTCATACTCTGAAGTCGTAAACATAGGATTTATATTTTCTTCTGAAAATTTTCAAGGATTGTCTTCTATGTATATATTATATCTAATACATAAAAAGTTTTATTTTGTAATCTAGTTTGAATCAAATATAGTTTTAATTTTTCTTCAGAGGGGAAAAATGTTCTAGCTAGATTAATTTAATAATCTCTTCCCCCAATAATTTATCTCTCTCTCAGAGTCGTTTCTTAATATTTGTGCATGTATACTGTCTCTTTCCTGTCCCATCTCTACTAACCTATCCATGAGCCAATATTAAGCTATCCTAATTATACTTTATTATATTTTTGTTGATTCTGAATTAGAAAATATTTGTACACTTTTTCTCTCCAATTATGTTATTAGTTCAAGGAAAGCAAACACTGTATCACTATTTTAAAATATTTGTAATTAACAAAATGAGAGAATGTTAAAGAATGGAAAGATGATGGGAGGGAAAAATGAGGGAAGAAAGGAGAAGAAAGAAAGAAAGAAAGAGAAATAGAGAAAAGAAAGAAGGGAGGGAGGGAAATAGTAAGGAATGGAGAGTATTTTGTTTTTTTCTTGTTTCAATATTTTTCTAAATAAGTAAGTATGTTTCCAGAAAATTGATTGTAAAAATCACAGAGAATCACCAAAAAAATCAAAAGCCAAGAAAAATAACAAGGGTGTATTTTATCCCATAAGTAATTATCTATAAATAAAGTTAAAATATTATTTACTCTGGAGCACACTTAGTATATTTAGTATAGTTATAAGATTGATATAAGAATTCGATTTGCTTAGGAAACAAACTGACCTGTCTCTACCACTTTCTAACTGTGCAAAATGAGCAATGTATCTATACGCCTCAATTTCCTCTCCTATTAAATAGAGTAATATTTGCCTTATAGGATGGTTAAAAAGATTAAATAAGAAATGAATGCAAAGTACTTTCCAGTGTCTAGCATACCTTATGAAATAAATATGTTTTCGTAATTACAAAAACAATTACTTAGAATTGTCAGGAAAAGGATCTCCACTGGTTAATTTTGAAATATATATGAGTTTGAATAGTACATATTAGCCAACCATTTGGGGGGCATGAATTTAAAATGAAAATGGTGATATTTAATAAGTACTCTTTTTTTTACCAGTTAAAAATGAATGCAGCCAAATAAAATTCATTTTTATAGTGTATATGTGTTCTGGTAGAGTAAGAAATAAAAAGATAAGTTTCACTAGATAAACAAATCTACAAATCTATACTTATAATAATAATAATGTAATATTGAATTATAACCAGTGCATAAATTTTCTATGAGTCCATACTTATATAAATAAATGATTGAATGAACTAGTGAGGTGGGAGGGGAATAGACAAATATCTTGTGCAGAAAGATTCCAAATAATTTATGTAAATACTCCTATCTCAAGGAGTGGATCACAATTTTGTGTATATATATAGGCTGTGCATAGTGACTTCCTACCAGATATTTCAATATGAAAAAGAAGGAAAAGAGTAATTTTACCTGGCAAACACAATCTTATCCAGGTGATCAAGGATAATACCAACACTGATAAGCCATGCTGATAGTATGTATCATTGGTATGATGTGATGAGAATGGCACTTTATCCTCAAGCCCATAACTCCAGTCTAATCATGAGAAAAATATCACACTATCCAAATTAAATGATAGTCTACAAAATAACTGACTGTTACTCCTCAAAACTGTCATGGTCTTCAGAAACTAGGAAAGTCTGAGAGACTGGTATAGTGGAGCCTAAGTAGACATGACAACTAAAAGTAATGTAGTATCCTGGATGGGATCCTGGTACAGAAAAAGGATATTAGGTAAAAGCTAATGACTTTACTTAATAATAACAAGCTAATATCAGTTTATTAGTTCTGACAAACATACCATACTAATGTAAAATGTTAATAATAGGGGAAACTGAATGTGGTGTGTACCCAAAATACCCAAAGATGCACTGTCTTTGCAGCTTTTCTGAAACTCTAAAACTATTCTAAAATAAAGTTTATTTTTAAAAATCTCGGTGGACAAAAGAAGAGTTAAATGGCTATGAACATGAATTATTTTCTTATATTGCACCAAAATGTAATTAACTGTATTTATCAAACACAGCTAGAAGTGTGAAATCATTGTAAAGAAAGGCCTGTCAAATTAAACACTAGATGAAGGAAAGCAAATGTATTCCTGTTTTTCAATTGAGGGAAAATGGAATATTCAATGAGAAAGAAATTGGCAGTCAAGTAAATATATTATCTCAAAGTATAAATAAAGGTTGATCTTTACTGGGAATTTTGGGTCAGTTTGTGAATATCAAGTCAACAGAGAGAAAAAAGAAATTAAAATAGAATATTGGGGCAGGTTAAATTGTAGTATTTCAACATAATTAAGTTTTATAATGATCAACCATGGACCATAAAATAAATATGTTACTAAATATGCTCAAACCGCAGTATACAACTAATTCACTTGTGATAACTGACTGAAGCAGATTTTTTTCTAATTGAATATTAAAATTTTTTTCTAAAGTGTATAGTTTTAAGTTTCACTAACCTCTATAGTTTGGAAAATTATTTTTGTTTTGGGTGAGATATAAAGAAACATTAAAGTACCAGTTTAGTTTAAGCAATAAACATATCTATTACTGAAAAAGTCTCAAAGAGAGAACTTAAAAATCCTTAAAAATCTTAAAAAACCTTAACAATCTGTTATAAGGTGTCTTCTGTTTACTGTAGAGGCATTTTTAGATAAATTTGAGCGAACAAATCAATTCAAAGCATCTTATGTTGTGTAACATTTACTGGAAAGTCCTATTATTTCTCTATATAATAATGATTCCCCTACAATTTAAAATATGTGTAAAGTAACAGTAAAGTTGACATCAACAGCAAAGTGAGATTAATTGATATTGAGTGCAAAATGATTACTGAAGTCTTCAAAGTGCACAGATATGGAAGACTTTACTATTATAATCTTCTGCCTTTCTAATAAGCCACAAATGCACCAGACAGAATAAGCAAAAATCAATTGAATAATTCAAAATGAGTCAAATATTCTAACCACAGTTCTTATGGTTACATTAATGGATTTTTTTAAAAATGGCAAAAACGCAAACTTAAAGCATTAATCCAAAAGGATCTGAGGTCATTTCCAAGTCAATGTGATAAATGATTTCAGGTTCATCAGTATTTAAATTTGCAAATTGGGAGTGTTGTGCTGCAAAACAAGAAATGCTAATGCTGGTCATGTTTCATCTGCAGTTTTCAGTCTTCATTTAGTGCATATCTGTTTTGTTCCTACCCTTTATTAAATAGTTCGGTGACTGCTCATCATCCATAGATTTATTTTTCAACTGTGGTTCAGAGACCTCTGTTGGTTCATGAAACTATTCTCAGAGTTGCAAGAATTATCAAACTTATTTCTATTTTGTCTTTGCATTTGAAGAAATATTACACATACTTCCACACAGACATACTTTATAATTAAGCACTGTCATATGATTCATTTGCCTAAATTCACATTCGTGTTTAAAATTAGGGCTTCCCTCATGGCGCAGTGGTTGAGACTCCGCCTGCTGATGCAAGGGACACGGGTTCATGCCCCGGTCCGGGAAGATCCCACATGCCGCAGAGCGGCTGGGCCTGTGAGCCATGGCCGCTGAGCCTGTGTGTCTGGCAAAAAAATAAAAGAAACAATCATATTGGCATCAAGTAGCATTTTTGTAACTGGCAAGGATGTTAAAAAATGAACATATATGAATTTAAATACATGAATGCCATATATATATATAATGTTATTACATTTAGACTGAATAAAAATTGGTTTGAATTACATATGAATAAGGAAAAATGATAGTACAATTTTGGCATAATAAAAGAATGCAAAAATGTAGGCATTCCAAAAGCAAAATACTTGCATATTGTTGGATATTCATATTTTGCAAACATATGTCATAGACACAGTCTTTCTAATTTTGTAAGAGTTCATTAGTTCAGTAGCAAAGTCTCAATGAAAAATTTTCTAAAAATGTCTTTTTTAGTATATACCCCTTAGGGATTGCCCATTAAAATGATGGCTTAGTTGATAACAGCAATTTTGTCAGTGATAACTATAATGTGACTAATAAGAAACTAAATTGATAGTAATAAATACATACATTTCTACTTTAAATTCAACATCTGTAATTTAGTTTCCATAAATCAGCATCAACTGTTATAATAAATCTATGTAGCTAAATTCTATTTTATTTGAAGCTTTCTTTGCCTTTAATTTATATGTTTTGTTTATAGTTATAGAAGGACTATCAGTGTAAAATTTTTAAATAAAAATTTAGGTGAGTGTATATTTATTTAAAATTGTAATACAGTATTATGGCAACATTAGAAGGCTGTGAAAAATACCATTTCACTCACTCAGTGATTAAAAATGGAATAACCTCAGTCTCTTTTGAGATGTTTGCTTGTTACTGGTAGTATTACCTTCTTTCATGGTTGGTGCAATGATCTTGAAAAGGAAACCAATGAATCCTATTTCCACTCTGCATTCAACAGCTTTTTCCTGGAGTCATCAAGTGCCTCATTTTCCATCTATAATTATTTTTCTTTTAAAAAAGTTTCATTTTTGATTATAATTAAATGATGAAAATAATTGTTATACTTTGTTTCTACTTTGCTGGGGCCCAATAAGTAGGTTCTATTGACAAATGACTTCTTTGTTAGTCATATATGAAAAAAATATATTATTTAGTTTGAAATCTAAGCTTCTGCTTCTGTCCATAATGGAATAACTAGAATCTACCTACACTTTTTCTTCTGCAAGCCACTAGAAAAAATGACAAACTATATGACAAGTGTTTTTAAGCATTTTATAATAGGTAGTACATATACATGGTAAATGAGAGAAGGAAAAGAAGACCCCTGAGGTGACCCCAACTTTCTGTCTAGAGGCAATTTCATTAACTAAGTTGATACATAGAAAACACAGGTGGTCTCATTCAGTTGAGGGAACAGAGATTGGAGCTAAAGGACCTTGATACACCTAGGATTTAAGGGATGAGAGCACTGGAGACAATGGATTCCAGAAAAGATCTCAAAAATTATTCCTGGAGTCCACTTGAGTATTAGGCTGACTACTAAACCAGTCATAAGGTAGAGTTCTATATTTTGGGAAAGAATAACCAAATACCTATAAGTGGAACAAGTTCTAGAGATCCCAGTAAGAAGCGTTCACTAGAAAATTTGAATTCTGACCAATCAGAGGGGAGAATCTAGGACATTTAGTAAGAACTCAAAAATCATATACCTTAATAGAAGGGATAAATCGGTCTTTGAATGAAACCATCATTAAATCTACCCTGTAGAAGCTTAAAAAAGAAATCTTAAAAGGATCAAGCTGGGCTTCCCTGGTGGCGCAGTGGTTGAGAGTCTGCCTGCCGTTGCAGGGGACATGGGTTCGTGCCCCGGTCCGGGAAGATCCCACAGGCCGTGGAGCGGCTAGGCCCGTGAGCCATGGCTGCTGAGCCTGCGCGTCCGGAGCCTGGGCTCCGCAACGTGAGAGGCCGCAACAGTGAGAGGCCCGCGTACAGCAAAAAAAAAGAAAAATGAAATAAAGGATCAAGCTAATCCATACATGCATAATATATACTGCCTGCCAGAACAAAGCCCACTATTCTTTAAAGGACAACAGTGGAATCCATCACACAGCACTGTAAAATATATAACATCCAGCATGCAATAAGTGGCCAACACGGCAGGGTAGAAAGAGCTCACCTTCTCCCACAGGCACATCAAAATTATAACTATTTACAGAGTAACTACTGATGAGAATAACCTGAAAACTAGCAGAAGAGATCTTCAACTAAATATATAAAGAAGGAACACGATTAGAAGGGGTGGAGGGGCAGAGACACAGTATAGTCAAGACTCATACCCCCAGGTAAGTGATCTGCAAATGGGAGGATAATCACAGAGCTTCTCCCCTTATAGCCCAAAGCCCACTGATATTATTCAAACTAGCTAATCCTAAACTGTTCATTTTGCCTCTTTTACCTTTCCCTCAGAAACCCCAATAAAGACTCTAGCCTAAAACTATTACTTGCTCCTGCTTCTGCTTCCTGGCCAAAACCTGGTGTTCTTCCTATGGCCCTGTGTGGGGACACATGCGTCTTGTTTGTAGGAGAAATGTAAATAACATTAAACTTGTCTTTCAATGACACTGACCTCTCTAAGTCACATTTATAAATTAAGACTTGGGCCCAGAACAAAGTAAAATATATAAATAATCTAATGGGAACGTAGTATGCTGAGTGGGGACCCCAACATATATCCATATCCTAATGTCCCGAACCTGCAAATATTACCTTATCTGCCAAGAAAGCATGATTAATTTAAGAATCTTGAGAGGAGAAGCTTACCCTGGATGATGATGATGATGATTATAAATAAAATCACACATATCCTTTAAGAGAGAGACAGAGTGAATTCCAACACACAGAGGAGAAGGAAATGTGAAAAAGATGGAGCAGAGAGAGATTCAGCCACAAGCCAAAAAATGGCCATAAGAAGCTGGAAGAGGCAAAGAATGAATTCTCCCCTAAAGCCCTCATATGGAACATAGCCCTGCCTAAATCTTGATTTCAGACTTTTGGCTCACAAAACTACGAGATAACAAATTTCTATGGTTTTAAGCCACACAATTTGTGGCAATTTGTTATAGCAACCCTAATACCGTTTACGGTACTGAGAAGAATTTCAAAGAGCATGGTAGAAAAAGCCTAGATTGCCTTAAAGTGACTGTAGAAACATGGACATTGAAAGTGATTCTAAAGATAGCTCAAAAGGAAATGCAAAACACATTGGAAAACAGAGGAAAGGTGATCCTTGTTTTATAGTAGCAGAGAACATGGCTGAATTATGTTCTACTAGCTGGAAAGCAGAACTTTAAGTAATGAATTTGGATATTTAACTGAGGAGATTGAGGTCCAAAAAAAGTGTTGAAGGTTTGTGTTTGTTTTGTTTTTTTATTTTTCTTGCTCATGTGAAGTGTGAGAGAACAAGATAAATTGAGAAATAAACTGTTAAGCAAAAAAGGAGTCAGAACTTGATGATTTGGGAAATTCTCAGCCTATCCAGATTGCAAAAGATGCTAAAATTAGGACATTCAATATTAGGAAAGTATGCACTGGAGAGAAGCCCAAGTGTGTAACTGAACAACTTTTGCTAATAATGTTAGGCATGTGACCCATGGTTCAATCCACCTGTCTCAGCAGAAAGTAGCAATAGAGATGCAATTATCCAGGAAAGGTATGTGGAGGAACCTCTTGTGTAATGGTTTGAATCACAGTAACATGCAGGCTACCTACAGGTTTTTGATAATTGTATACTAACAAAAAACACTGGACTGAAAGCAACAGAGGCAGAGCGACATTAAATAAGGTTGTCAAACTCCCTAAATTCATCAGAGAGGAAATAGGCTGATAAAACTACTCAGATGCAAATATGTGCTACCCTTTAAAAAAAAATAAAGAAAAAATTTATTCTGAGAACAGAGGCTTGGGCCGAGAAGGCAAAGCTGTAGAGACCAAGACCTATGTATGACATTACAGGCACAGAGGGCAGAGCTGTGAACCTCAAAGAATTATTATCAGGTCTTGAAATCTAATAGAATTTGCCTTGCTGGATTTTGAACTTGCTTGGGAACAGAAACTCCTTTATTTTTTCCACTTTTCTCCCTTTGGAATGAAAATTATCTCATTATATTATATATATTATATTATATTATATTATCTCATCCCGATCAAACCATAGTACTAGGGAAGCAGTTAACTTGTTTGCTAGTTTCACAGGTGCACATGTATAGAAAAATTTTGAATCAGGATCATTCTAAGACTTTCACACACACCTAATTTAAATGATGAGATTTGAGATTTTTGAGCCAATGATATTTAGATGAGGTTTTAGACTTGAGCAGATGGTACAATGGATAGAGACTTTGAGGTATGTTGGTGTAAAGTGAATACATTTTGAAGTAGACCACACATGAATTTTTGGAGGCCAGAAATCAGACTGCAGTAGACTAAGAAATGCCCTCTCCTGCAAAGATATATTCACTTCCTCTTTCCAGAATTTGTGAGTTTCATCTAATATGGCCAAACAGTGATAGTTTCTTCATATGGGAAAATACGCAATTAAGTTCAAGGAGGAATTTATCCAGGATTATCTGGGTAGGCCCTTAATTCAGTCACGTTTATGCATCCTTATAAGAAGTTTGTTTCACACACATGAGGACCAAGGCAAAGATTGGAATGAAGCATCTATAAGCCAAGAAATTCCAGGAGGTTACCAGAAGCTGAAAGAGGCAAGGAACAGAACACAGAACCTCTGGTGGAAGTGCAGTTCTGCTGACACAATGATTTTAGACTTCTGGCCTTCAGAAATGTGAAAGAATACATTTCTGTGATTTTAATCCAACCAATTTGTGATAATTTGTTATAGCACCCACAGTAAACTAATGCATGCAACTTCTGGAGATGAAAAATAAAGTATATGGAATAAAAATTTTACTAGAAGAGATTAAAAACTATTGGACAGAATAGAATTTAACATTTGTAAACTTGAAAACATAGAAATAGAATCTATTCAATCTAAAGCACCAAGAGGAAAAAAAAATCTGAAAAAAATGAACACATCCAGGGACCTGTGAGACATCTAGAAGTACAACATACTTATAATTGGAGTCTCAGAAAATAAGGAGAGATGATATTTGAAGAAACAAAGTTTTAAAAATTTGATAAATATCGTGAATCCAGAGATCCAGATAGTTCAACAAACAGAAAGCAGATAAAATAAAAATAAAGTAATACCTATGAACCTCATCAAATTCCTGAAAAGTGGTAAAGAATAAATTTTAAAATCAGGCAGATGGGAAAAATATTATATTTGAGGGAACAATAAGAAGACTGACTACAGGCTTTTCATCTAATATGATAAAAATCAAGATGATTGGTATCTTTAAAGTGCTAAAAGAAAACAATAGTCAACCTATAACCAGCCAGAAATTCCTTCAAAAGTGAGGGTAAGATAAAGCCAATTTTAGAAAAACTTAAGCCTAGAGATTTGTCCCCAGCAAGCTTGCACTACAAGAAATTGTAAAAGAAAATTTTCAGATACAACAAAATGATACCACGTTAAACTTGGATCTTCACAAGGAAAGCAAAACACTGGAAATGGTAAATTATAGGTAATTGCAAAAGTTATTTTTCTCATTTTGTGAAAAAAAAATCTTGAAAAGGTAATTGACAAATTAAAGCAAAATTTATTACAATGAATTGAGGGGTTAAAACACAAGCAGAAGGCAACAACAGCACAAAACTTTACAATCCAATTCATGGAAGTGTTTAAAGAAACAGAGAACGCATAGAGATCATTTTGACCCATTTTACAACTTTTGTTTTGGAACACATTTCTGTGAATCAATTTACTTACATTTGCAGAGTGTAAGTGCTTAAATTGCAAACAAATATAACACCTGGAATTTTATTAAATACTGCTATTATTCTGTTTGTGTACATGCTGCAGAGGAAAAAAGTTGCATTTGTTCCTTAATATAATTAGGGAGTCTTTCACGTAAGTTTACAAATGATGATGATAATGGTTAGCAAATGGAATACACAATCCCATCATCTGAGGGTTTTTTTTTTTCCCCTGTATATTCTTAGTATCCAGTGTTTATTACTTAAAATAAATTTCATCTGTTACAAAAAAATTGAACCCTAGCTGGAGAAAAATTAACTATAAGATTTAGCTGAAGTATTTTGCCATTGTTTTATTTTTAAAACCCTATTTACATAATCTAACATGTTTATTCAAAATACATTTATTTGTGATAACCAATATTTTTGCACTGACTGGCATACCTACCTAATTAAAACATGTAGAAACTTCTTCAGTTTTCTCTGTCAGAAAAATAAACAAATTGGATGGGAAACCAGTGAGATGCATTTCACAATGATGTTAAGTTTGTTAACTAAATACATGAGCAAGCAGAACTGCCAATGTTTTATTATATGTTTTTTCCCACAAGTGTAATGGAGAATACTAATTACTCCATATCTGCAAAAATATACTGAAACTTTCTATAGATTACTTTAAATATGGCATAAACATTAGAACTTTTCAGCAATGGCTGAAGATATTCTTTTCTCTCCCTTTTCCTGTGTTTCCCAGGATTGAGAAATTTAGATGTTATTTTAGTGGGTGAAACCTACAAAGGAGTTCAATGCTGAGGTACACACTTTGTTCTCTAACTAAGGAGACAGGAGTGCTAAGTGTGCTGGACTGTTCTCTTTCCTTCCATGCCTTCTGGTAGTGCTGGCAAGTAGCTGGTGAGACTCTATTCTGACTCTTAATGACAGGTGTTCCTGGAAAGGCTTTCTTCGAGTGAGAATGCTAAATATGAGTTAATGAACAGATCAGTTTGAAGCTGTTAAAAACGGACCTCCATGTGCTTTCATTCTATGTCATTTGGGCGTAGACAAACTAGGCAAAAATTCTTCCATGTTGTTAGATGTATACACTTGGCTTCTACACTGGGGCCTAGAAACAAATTCTCCCCATTAATAACTAATTGCTTTCTCTTGTGTAGTTATTTGCTTTATAGGTTCGAGTAATGAATGGGTACTCTACTATTCCTGGATTCATAATACTAATAATTATTCTAGTCTCATTCCCAATTTCAGGAAGTTTGAATAACTAAAGGAATATGCAAATAGACTTTGGTGGGAAACCCCTCCCAAGAAAAAAAATAAGTTATCTTCTCTGTAAGACTTCTGTGGAGTTTAAACCTTTAACAGCATGACTACAGCTAGTGAAAATGTAGCACTGAATTTGTTATGAAGACCAGGACAAGCCTGTTTGGAACTTGAATTTACAAATCACAATGTCCTAAATAAATCAATCTAAATTCACTACAAAATAGAAAGAAAAAGATTATGTGCTATTTGGGCTTTTGGATAGGTACTACCAGGCAGCAGGTAACTGATCTCCATACCTGTTCCTCTTGTCATTCTCTTGACCTCTTCACTTAACTTCAACAAACTCTTAATCTGTTTCCATAATAATTTTTATGCATGTCCCTGAAGCCCTTTCCACTTTTATATGCACACAAATTTCAAGCAATAACAAACAACTTGCTCTGCAATGCAGCTTTTTTATTAATCACTATCATCAATCACTCAAAATACACCCAGGGAATAAAAAGTACATTTCTCACGCACACCCATCTTTAAGGCAGATTCTCTAATCTCTACTTTTAACAAGCCAGTTACCTCTAAATACATCGTACCTAGAAAGTTTGGAATTGTTGATATATGGAGCAGTAACCTTTGAGGACTTCTGTGACTTTGCCACAATATCTTAGGAATAGTACCTGCCTGTGTTCTTAGGTTGAACTGGAGATATTATATCTCTTTGAATTTGAATCACAATTGTGAATGATCAAAGCAAGATCATGGATTATTCTGCAGAGAAGTAACACAGTTCACCACTGAACAAACAAACAAAATAATGGTCTGCATCTGCAATAGTTTATTACCTTGTGGCGAGATAAAATAAGTTTTCTATATCTTCACAGTTCCAAGGATAAATAATAAAATTGACAGAGTATACACTTAGAATATTCTGACTGTAGCAATCCAATTTATCCAGAAGCAGAATAAAAGCACAATAAAAAGGTAAAAGGCTTTATAATTTTATGTGTGAGGAAAATAAAATGTCTTGGGTTTTCTGAAGGAAATCTCTGAAACTCATGGGAATGTAGGATTAATCAAAAGATTGATTGATCTTGAAATCAAACAAAAACTGTGGTAAAAAAGAAACATGAAAAAGAGTAAAGATACACAGATTCAGCCACCAGTAATTGTTTATGTAGAGCTAGAGAAGGAAAGTCTTCAACTTTTTAAGTACAATGTAGTTTCAACACCTCAGGTAATCCTAGTTGAAAAGACTAGGGTAAAGGAATTGCAATCCCAAATCAGCACTGATCAAAATTTAGTGTGGGGCTTCCCTGGTGGCGCAGTGGTTGAGAGTCCTCCTGCCGATGCAGGGGACACGGGTTCGTGCCCCAGTCCGGGAAGATCCCGCATGCCGCGGAGCGGCTGGGCCCGTGAGCCATGGCCGCTGAGCCTGCGCGTCCGGAGCCTGTGCTCTGCAACGGGAGAGGCCACAACAGTGAGAGGCCCACGTACGGCAAAAAAAAAAAAAAAAAAATTAGTGTGCATTTGAATTACCTGGTATCTTGTTAAAGTGTTAATTTTGATTCAGAGCCTGATATTCTATATTTTCAATAAGCTCTCAGAAGATGGGGTGCTGCTGGTTCCCAGATAACCCTCTTAGTAGCAAAACACCAGAGGGTATACAGGAAAATAATCAAAGAATAGAATGTAAACAAATACTACTCAAGGTCTCTAGATGTCAAAAGGGAGAAATATGGTTTTAAGAATGACTATCCAAGTGAGGATGTATTAAACTTTAGGTGAACCCTGAAGCAGAGGCTTTGGATTCATTCAGCAAGATAAGTACCAACTCTGTGAATTTTCTGTTTTAAATATAATGTATTAATAGAAATCTGAGGTACAGTAAGGTCCACAGATCAGAACACTATTGCCATTGAAAGTTTATTATTCACAGTTTCCAAAAAGAGAGGCCACACAGGGAAGCCCTAAGTTGAGTCAGGAGGCAGAGGGAAAGGGGAGAACTGTGGATAAAACCTTTATTGTGGTTTCTACAAGAAGAACAGCAGGTAGAGAGGTTTAGGATTGGCTAATCTAAATAGTTTCAGCAGGCTGTGGGGTTCACAGGGGCTGTCTCTAATTGTCTGGTAGTTGGCCTTGAGGAAATTATGGCAGGAAAATAGGAATATAAGATGTTGTCAGAGAGGAAGCCATGGTTAGTTCTAAATTTGGGAATGATGGGAAAGGCATTTTTTTGTAGGTGATTCCTAAAATATATTGAGGAATAAATAGAATTTTCCCAGGCTCACAGATGACAGATTTTGTCTGATGCAAAGAGATCAATCAGGCAAAAGCAAAACAGTTTGTTTGGGGGCATACTAGAGACCCTTGAAATAATGAGGTGTGGTTAGAGAATTTGTGACCAGAGAGGAATTAATGGACAAAGTTGAACATGATCTTACATGCAGGGGACACGGGTTCGTGCCCCAGTCCGGGAAGATCCCGCATGCCGCGGAGCGGCTGGGCCCGTGAGCCATGGCCGCTGAGCCTGCGCGTCCGGAGCCTGTGCTCTGCAACGGGAGAGGCCACAGCAGTGAGAGGCCCGCGTACCGCCAAAAAAAAAAAAAAAAAAAAAATGATTTATGAAACATGTTTCCTTATACAAAGGGAGACATGACAGAAGCTGGGATGGGGTCAATTGTTCTTTGTACCAAACAAGAACATTTATGAAGGCTACTCTCCAGATTTGAAACATCTCATTACCCTTACTTTAATGGCTTTCCTCCTTCTTATAGATCTTGAGAATTAAGTTATCTATTTTTCTAAAGATATAGGAAAGCATGAGATATAGGAAAGCAGTCTTACTCCATGTCAAAGATGTTATAAGCAATTTGATATAGAATATTTTACTGATAGATTTGAAAGTCAGATTTATGAAAATATTTGGTTGTTTCTACTGCTGTTTCTTAATCATTTCACATAAGATTTAAGTTTTTCTTAAAAATTAAAATGGAATTTACAGATACTTGTAAAGTTTAACTTCACTAAAACTCTATAGTGAGTAAAATTTCAATTTAGTAAGACATCATTAATAATGACATATTTGTCAAATGAATAAAGTCATAAAAGCTAGTAACTTACTATTTTTTGCTCTGTTAATAGTATGATTTTTGACCTAGGCCAAATTTATTTAATTTCACTAAATTTTTCTTTCTTTATCTATAAATTCCTTTAAATATAAATTTACTATTTCCTTGAGGTAGAGAAATAATAATAAAAATGCTTCTTTGGAGAGGATATTGAACAACAATAATTTTCTGTTGATTTCTTCTGCTTCTTGCTCTATGACGGAGGGAAGATTTAAAATGATCTAGCTGTGAGGAAGAACTTGGGTAAGCACTGTGAGCAAGAATATGTTTCATCAATTTCATAGTGATAGATTGAATGTTAAGCTTTTTGGCTCCTATGTGTGAAACCCATAAGAATCAAGAAAGCATTACTTACTTTCTCATGGTAAAATATCTTTAATTGATCAAATCAAATATATATGCCAGAGAAGACTTGACAAGTAAAATATCCCTTTTTTTTTTTTTTTGGTTTGGTTTTTTGTCTATCATGAAGTTGCATTGTTAAATTGATATTCTTATTAGTGGATATTTTAAAATTTATCACAGACAAATTTTCTTCTTTTAATCTTCAAATAATATACATTCTAGTTTCATAATTTGGATAAATTTAAATTATTTCATCCATAAGGATTGATTTGAAAATCATTTAAATACATAAAATTACTTCTTTGGAGGTTTTCTCCCTGTTTTGCTTTATTGTAAAACTATAATAAACTATTTTAATCCCCCACGAAATCCCATTAAGTAGATAACTAAAATTTTGGAGGATATCTTATGTCATATCCAATCCTTTTCTTTTGGTGGAAGTAAAACAACCATGTATTATGACTTAAAATAGAAAGAATATATTAAAACGCCTTTGCTTTTACTAAAAATAATAGGTCATTATGGTTTAGAAAGATGCAAATAATTATGTTACTTGAAATAATTAACAAATAGACTATATTATAGGTTCAGAGTTGTTAAAAAATAAAAAAAATAAACAACACTGGAATATTTACAAAGTTAGTTGAGCTAAATTTTTGATCCTTGTCTTTGACCATTGGATTCTGCTTATAGGAACTTATCATATGGAATAATCCAAAGACTAGGAAAATCCATCATTCCTTTAAGTCAACCAGATTCAATAATATAGAAACACCTAGTTAGAAATATAGAAATGCATCTGGAATAGTTATTAGTAACTTTCATTGTAATGCATGTGTCTATATGGAAAAATATTTAAGCAATAGTATTTTTTTTAGAAAGCAAGATACATATGTATGTGTAACTAATGATTATAAGTATAAAGAAAATATGCATATACATGAGGAAAAATTAGAAAAAAAATTAAGCAAAAAAGAAAGAAAGTGGTCTTTTAGGGAAGGAGGATTCAAGGTGATTTCTCAATATGTTTTCATACTTTTATTGTATGTTTTTTATTGTTTTCATATTTTAGAGTGAGATATTCCAATTGTTTTTCAATTAAAAAACACTTGCATTTTTAAAATAGTTAAGTAGACAATACATTAAAAAATGTACATGGTGAGAATATATTCATTCTTTTATTCTCATATTTATTCTTTTCCCCCAGTAAAAAATAAACTGCATTTTCTTTCCTTGTAAGGTTAGTCACTGAAAATATGAATGGCCAGTCAATACACCCTTCCCCTACAGAAGAACACAAGATTGACTCATTCACCTCAATAGAAACTGCAAACATAGATAAAAAAATAAAAAGATACATCTTGAGCTCCATTACCAGATATGACTGAAGTATGGAAGAAATTGAAGATCTTTTTGATTGAGTTTTGAGCAAAGTACAGTCACAATGTGGGAGAATGCAACGGAAAAGAGAAATCAGCTGCAGAGAACACCCAGTCATTCACACTCCCCATTATTCAACCAACATAAATTCTCGGAACACTGACTGTTTAGTAAGATTGGGAGGTGAAATAAGGGACTAAATCAATATCTATTGAGTTTTAATTGAGTTCCTATTTGACCGAATAACACTCCTGGTTTTCCTAGCAGTCTTAACAATCCAATATGCAGCCTTTGTCAATTTATTTCTTCTTATAATCTTTTATTTAACAGATATTAAATGAACAGCAGCCATGTGAGTCACTGTCCTGGGTAACAGGTATATCATACTGCATAAGTTAGATCTGGTATTGGTTTGTCCACAAAGTGTTTACATTTTAATTAGAGAAGAAAGGCAATGAATCAGTAAGTAAATAAATAAATACAATATGGATGTTGACTTGTATGATGCAGGAAAGAAGTAAGATGAAAAAAGAGAAACTGAAGTGGAGTGATCAGTCAAGACTCTGAGAAGACAGTATTGGAGAGAAGACTTGAAACATTCTCCTACAATTATAGATAAATCTTAATCGAGTTAAACCACCTGCACTTATGCAAGCATTTAAAACCACACATGTATTAGAAATACAAATAATGTGTATTTTATTTACAGATTACCTATAATAATGTCCAGGTCAGATGTCACATTCCAACTTTTTCTGGCTGAGATTTTCTCACTCCTTATACCTGTTTAGTTACGTTTCCAAAGTCTTCCCATGCTTCAGGATTTGACTCAAAAGCCACCTCCTGCGTAAATCTCCCTCTCTTCCATTGCTTTAGCAGAATTATTCAATTCTGATTCTGAACATATGTAATTCTTTACATTTTTCCTTAAAATTATTAAATTAATAATATCAATGGTAATAAGATTTATCGCTTTGTGAATGCCTACTGTGACCTTGGAAAATGTATTTGATTTCTCTAAGTCTTAATTTTCTCATTTGTAAAAGGGCACAATAATATTACGTACCTCAAAAGTTGTTTGCACAAATTGTGATACTGTAGTTGAAGCACTAAGCATGGTGTCGAAAAATAAGAATAATAAGCACTAAATGCTTCTTGTTAGCTGTCATTATTATGCAATGGTATGTATTACTATTGAATGCCTGCCTTCACCTTCACTAAATAACTTGAGATGGCAATATATTTTCTGTTCTTGTGAACTCATTTTAGATATGCTTTTTCCTTGTATCCTTTCTTGAACTCACTGGTAGGTCAGCTAGAAATATCTAATAACTTTCTCAGCTCTCTCAAACTCTCCTGATTTGATGTTTCTGGTTTTTAGGAAACAGGATAAATTTTAAAAAGCTAAAATAAGTATAATTAGGTGCTGAGTGGGGGACTAAGGTGTTCTCCTACTAATAAAGTATGTAAGAATAAGAGTAAATTTAGCATTCAGTATACTAGGAATGAAGTCCCCCTACCCTGTATTATGAAAAGAATGTGTTTTTTATTAACCTTGAAGGCTACTTGAAAGTATTATAAGAAATAATGTCTCTGAAGTTTATAATTCCCTACCTAGAACGTGTTATTTATTCAAACCACATCATTATTTCTAGCTGCATTAACTGATAAAAAAGGTAGCCTCTGGGGCTTCCCTGGTAGCGCAGTGGTTGAGAGTCCGCCTGCCGATGCAGGGGACGCGGGTTCGTGCCCCGGTCCGGGAGGATGCCACATGCCGCGGAGCGGCTGGGCCCGTGAGCCATGGCCGCTGGGCCTGCGCGTCCGGAGCCTGTGCTCCGCAACGGGAGAGGCCACAACAGTGAGAGGCCCGCGTACCGCAAAAAAAAAAAAAAGAAAAGAAAAATCAAAGCTTTCAAAACTAACAATGTTTATTATCGTTCCTAATACAGTGGCAGTAAAATGATATTGCCATTCAACAGATAATTGCCATCTGAGACCATCTGCAGGTGTGAATCTATTAATGTAAAACTTAGGCATAATAAGTTATTGTTATTCCAAAGGGAAGTTAGAGGTTAAATTATTCTCTAACCATCATTTATTATCTTTGATAATAAACCTGTTAGTCATTAAGCTAAGTCATATTAGCTTAATAATAAACTAACTTGTAACTTACAAAGATATTATTATTTATGAGAATAATGCATACTTGCAACATTTATGTATTTTATTTTCCTGATAAATAAACCCAAGTTGAGGACTATACAAATTAGGATATAAACATCAAAATATAAAACATAAAAATGAATAAAAATTTTAGTAATATATTCTAATAGATTGATTTAACTGCTCATAACTACATTTTTTTCCCTATCACATGATTAGGAACAAAAAAGATAAATTATTTATGTGTACCTATTATGTCAGTTATTGCTAATGTGTAAAATTCTGATAGCATTCTAGGGAACATAAATTTTCTTAAAGGAGGAAACTCACAGGAGGGCTGAAATCTGTATCTTACGAAAGCTTTGTCTGCCCCAAAAGACATATGAGTGAGTGGAAACTTGTTCTGATTTACTAAACCTATGGCTATGATCTTCTTACATTTTCCAAATTCAGTTTCTTGCTGCAAAACTGCACATGGCTTCCTCCATAAAGTTTTTTTTTTAATACCTGACTTTCCTACCATTTTTGAAGCTGAATAATAATAGGTGATAGGCATTTTTTTTTTTATAGATGAGGAAATTGAGGCTTAGCAACTTGAATGGGCCACACAGCCCACAACTGACTAAGGCAGGATTTTAAACTTTTTATTTACAATATTCTTACTGTTGTAAAATAAATAAAACAACATCATAATAAAAATTGCAAATATTCTATGAAAATTTAGGATCAAGATATTTACTTTTTTTTTTTTTTTTTTTTTTTTTGTGGTACGCGGGCCTCTCACTGCTGTGGCCTACTCCCGTTGCGGAGCACAGGCTCTGGACGTGCAGGTCCAGCGGCCAGGGCCCATGGGCCCAGCCGCTCTGCGGCACATGGGATCCTCCCGGACCAGGGCACGAACCCGCGTCCCCTGCATCGGCAGGCGGACTCTCAACCACTGTGCCACCAGGGAAGCCCAAGATATTTACTTTCTAAAGTTAATTTTTCTAGAACTCAGATCATGCTGTGAAGGGGTAAAGGGTCATTGAAACAACGAAATTCTAAAGCTGGACATCCATCCTACAAATGTTAATTTTTGTCATAATCTTGGCTACAAGGGCACAGATTGGTGCAGACAAGGCCTATTGGCATTTTTATTCTTGAACCTATATTTTGTTCAAGATACAAATATTTTAAATTCTTCAGTGAATACTTCATAAGATTAGTAATATTATATTAAAGGAGGATACTGTATGCAGTTGAGAAATACAAGAGCATTATACAAAGCCTGACTTTGTATGTATAATGAAGATAAAAGATCAGAGAAACTTTTGTGATAGAGAAAGTCTAGACTTGAGAAGTGTGAGCAGCATAGCTGGAGATCAGGACGCCTACAGTGTAAGCATGCTATAGGTGTGAACGGGAAAAAAACTGCCTCATGAGAAGATACTGTGGAAATAGACACTAGACTGGGTCTTATTTCTCTGGGCAAAGCTAAAAATAATGGGTAGGTCTTGATCCACTTTACCTATATGTCCACCACTTCCTCACAAAAGACCCCAGAAACAAAACTAAGAAGTCATAAACTGGTTTTAACTTCAAGGACCTTGGAAGAAGAAAACACCCTCTTTGGATAATTATACTTGAAGCCCAGTCTTCAAAACGTTATCTTAGGTGAAACTTCAAAAAATATGAATTAATAATGAAAATAATTCTTAAATTTATAAGGGAAAACAAATTGCAGAATCAAAACTATGAAAACTGAAATATTGAAATATATAGATATAGAATATGATTTTTTAAATTTAAAAAATGCATAATGAAGGAACAAGCATACAGAGATGAGGTGCTGAGATCCTCTTTGAAGAAAGGATTCACTGCCCAGCAGTGGGGAATGACATCAGCAGACAGCCTAGAGCTGGGGTCTGGTCAGCTGCAGAGAGGCCCTTCCCCTGAAGTTGCATTCTTCCACAGTTAACCTGCAGCTGCAGACTAAGCAAGGTCGGAGTGTAAAGCCTCAGCATTGCAGCTCCATGTGGATTACTCTGTCAGGCAGCACTTGCTCCAAAGTTCCCCAGGAAGGTTGGCTGAATCTTTGACAAACCTACAGCAGTTTCATTTCTTCCTCTGCCCATTTCTGCTTCCTTCCCCTTTCTTTCACAGATGATGATACTTACTTAACATCTAAAATACTTAAAGTCTATCTCAGTAGTATTCACTTCTTGAAGACCCAACCTGGAACAGGAATCAAACAATTTTTTTAATGAAAAAGAAACTATATATGTATATATTTGAAATTACAAATTTAAGAAATGGGTCAAGCTGCAGATTAGACAGATCAAATAGGAAACACTAAATAAGATTTTGGAAACAAATTCAAACTATTCTCTAATCACAAATTGTAAATGGACTAAACTCTCCAACTAAAAGACAAAAATTACCAGACTGAATTAAAAAGAAATTATTGGTAAATTCTGGGCCATATCAGTTAATAAGAATCATATTTAAAAATGATAAGGATACAGAAAGAGGAAAAGTAAACGGAAGAGAATTTTGAGGTATTGGCTGTACCTACCAAACAAGAAAACAACAAAAACTTGTTACTACAACTACTACACTGAAGCAGCTCAACTGCTACACTTGCATCTTTTTTGAAGAAGGTATTATCCTGCCTCCCTCATGCATTTCCATAAAATCATTAGTGACCAAATTATTAACAAAAATGATTCTTATTTGAGAACATGAGCAGCCAATTACATTACATTCTAAGTAGTACTTTTAGACACATCTCTTAAAAAAAAAGCAAGAGATCTAAATTCTCTTGGTGGGAGTAGATGAGCTCTCTCTGAGTATTCCTAACATCGTTCTCAGCAC